CTTTCCCTGTGACTGTGGATGGTAGACTGCTCCAAAACTGTGTCTCAGTCCTAAGGACTGTTCTACTGTACGTAGGTCATGGTTCTTGAAATGGCTGCCATTGTCTGACCTCACTTTCCTAGGAAACCCATGTAGTGGAATGTAATGTGTGACTAGGAATTTGATCACTGAGTCTGCATCCTCTCTCCTGCATGGCATAGCTTCTGGCCAACCTGTGTATGCATCTACCACAACTAGTAAGTACCTGAACCCTCTTACTTTGTCAATCATGTCAGTGTAATCAATGATGATTTCTTCTCCTGCCATCTTAGGTAAAGGGAACTTTCCCTGGTGTGGTTTTACAGTAGCTCTGATGTTGTGGGTTAAGCAAATTACACATTCTTCCAGGTACTTAGCTATCATGTCCGGTAGGTAAGGGTGCCACCAGTGAGTCAGGTGTCTGCTCATCTGAGTTTTACTGCAATGTGTTGGGCCGTGTGCTTCTTTAAGCATTGATCTTACCCATCCTGGGGGTATCACTGGTCTCCCATCTGGGGAGTACCATATCCCGTCTTTGTCGGTAGCTCCTCTGTCTAACCATACTGTTTTATCTTGAGTCGACCCTGCTGCTTGAGCTTCTTTGAGAGTATCATCTGTTACTGCGGGCAGTAAGTCAGCAGATTTTGCAACAAGCATTTGAAACCAGGGTGTATACCCTGCTTTGGCTTTAGCTGCTTTGTCTGCTACATTGTTACCCCAAGTCAAGTAGTTGTCTGCCGTGCTGTGACCTTTACACTTGAGTAAAGCTAGCTTGTTGGGTAACATTACTGCTTCTGCAAGCCTTTTGATCTCTTTCTCGTGTTTGATGGGGGTATTGGTGGATGTTACAAATCCTGCTCTCATCCACTGGCGCATTTCCACATGTATGACACCATGAACATATGCTGAGTCAGTATAGATGTTTACATATTTTTCTTTTGATAGCTCTAATGCTGCAATGACTCCCATTACTTCTGCCAACTGTGCTGAGACTTTCCCTGTTACTTTTCCTGCTGCTCTTTCCTCAAACTGTCCCTCAGCTGTTTGACCTACCGTAGGCCGCTTGGAGCCCGTTAGTGGGGTCTCTGAAACAACAGCCGTCTGTGAACAGGTTTTCTGCATGTGGCATAGGCTCGTCTCTGAGATCTATTCTTATCTTCACATCCTGGATGATTCTTTCCTCACACCTATGGGGTTCTCCGCTAACCATGGTGTCTGCGCTGTTAACTCCTTCATGTGTGTAGGTGATGTGTGCTTTTGTCAGAGTTTTCTCTAACCTGGTCTGTCTGGTGGAAGTCATTGTGAATGCACTTGAGTTCACAAAAGAGACAATGCTATGTGTTGTCAGTACTGTCAATGGGTGTCTCATCACAATGTGTGAAATCTTGTTCAAGATACCTGCTGCATGTCTCGTGCATGGAGGTTCTCTGGTCTCCACTCTGTCCAGTGTGATACTAATGTACATCAGTATTGACCTACATCCCCCCTTTTTCTGAAATAGAATACCATTTACTGTGTTTTCACTTTCAGAAATATCAAGGAAAAATGGCAATGCATAGGATGCAGCGGCGAGAGAGGTGACCTGGGACATGGATTGTTTGAGAGAAATGAACGCAGCTTCTGCAGCTTGTGTCCAGTTCAGTGTGGCAGTGAGATTGCGCTAGCCTTTTTCATTGATCAGTGTTCTGAGTTCAGCTGTTCTTGGGTTATACTCTGGGATGTAGTGTCTGCTGTAGCCTGTGAGACCCAGAAAAGATAGCATGTCTTTGACTGTCTTGGGTTTGGGGTGGTTTAAAATGTGTTCCTGATGTGCTGCTGACATGCCTGTACCTGCTGGAGAGATTACTCTGCCCAAAAATGTCACCTCTTTACGGGTGCATTGTAGCTTTTTCTTAGAGACCTTGAAAAAGAACATGTGTGTGTGTTAGTGAGGGGAAGTGTATGTGTGTGTGTGTGTGTGCATGCTGATAAGCGGAGGCGTATGTGTGTGTGTTGCTGATATCTGGGTCAAGGAGTTTATGTGTGTGTGCTGGAGACAGGGGGTGTATGTGTGTGTGTTGGCGATATCTGCCTTATGGAGTTGTAGGTAAGAAGGTTTATATATATAAGATTACTTCAAAACAGTCCCAAATAATACATGTTCACTTCAATACAGTTCAAGATAATACCTGTTTACTTTAATACAGTTTAGAACAATATCTGGGTGCTTTAGTATCCACAGAGACCCCAGATGGCAGGAAGAGCTTTGTGATGTCCAGAGCACTATTTATAAAATACTCATTCAGAGAGCTGGCCAACACTGCAGGGTCTTTTTATCAGAGCATCATTGATTTTTTATTCAAGAACATTATTTTCCTGTTTGGTTTGTTTACCTAATAGTTTATTTAAGATTTGCCAAACGTTTTTACCGTTACCTTTCGCACCTTCAATTCTATTGATGAAAAAGTTAGCTTTGGCCTGTCTTATTGTTAGTGTTACCTTGTTACGAGCATGAGTGCATTTCTGTCTGTCAGTGGATAGTCCGGATTTCAAGCTCTGCTTTAATAGGTGGTCTCCAGATTTCATTAGATTCCTGCACTGTAGATTCAGCCGGGGAAGATGATGTTCCTTCCTGTCCCTAAGGCACCCTCTCCTTGAGAAGGAAGACTTTGTATCATTAATTTGAGATATAAACAGATCACTGTTTTCACCAATGTCTTCAGAGGAGAGAGTGTCCCCCCAATCAATCATTTTCACTGCATCCATAAAACGTTGTTGCAGGTTTTTGGGGATGAAGCGAGAACCGAAGGCAGGGGTTTTAGATGTGGCCATAAACCTTTTTTTGTGAGTTTCCTGGCAAAAAGAACAAGATTATGGTCAGAAAGACCAGTCAGGAAGTTGTAGGTTTTAACTATTCTGTCAGTTTTGTTTGTAAATAATAAATCTATCATATCATATTTGTTGATGACAACAGTAAATAATGAGTCCTGCAGCATTCTGCATACTAATGTGTGTGTTTGAAGTTGATGAAGAGGAAATACAAACACCTCCTCACTTTATGGCAGCAATTGTATTTCCTCAACAACGCATTTGTCAAAGTTAATTAGTGATGTTCGTGTGAATGTAGCAGAGCGTCTCCCTGTTCCTGCTCCACTGCCTCCTCAGAAACATCCTCCTCTGAGACTCACCCTGCTTTAAAACAAGAGAAACACATTTGGTGGTTTTAGCTCGGACCTGGAAGTGTGTGTGTTGTTCTTTCACACTTTAATAGTGTTCTGGAAAGAGAGGGGACTTTTTAATTATTTTTCAATTGGCTTATTCATACGGAAGACAAACGTTGCTATACTACAATTAAAAAAATTATTTAGCAGTATCATATTTGTATTCCTGAATGTGTAAGCAGTTTGTTTTGAATACTAAAATATGATTACAACTCAATTATACTAAAATCTTGGTGAAACCTGTCTTTCAAAGGATGCACACCAGCTGGAGATGATTATAGTTTGTATTTAAGTTTGGAGAATTTCAATTTCAGATCAAATTTAGCTTCACACAAATTGAACTCAAACCAAAATGTCTCAAATTATGAAGGACAAACCTGCCAAAAATAATAAAGTCTTGATAAGTAAATGAATATGCAATTATATGTACCAAAATAATAATAACAACAACTTATGTAGGCCCTAATTAATCAATACAAAAAATATATATTTTATTTTTGTTTTGTATACTTAGTTCATATTTCTGCTTTATTTATTTATTTGACTCTGTATTACTTTTCTTTTCAATGTGTTTTTAAGTATTCTTATTAACTTTTACATGTATTTTTAAATTCAGGTATTAAAGTCTCCAGACAGTTCAAAATAAATACAAAAAAAAAATAAGAAAATCATGAAATGGATCTAGAATATATTAAAGAAAATGTTGCCGACTGGACATTCAAAGGGAAAATAAACAAGAAAAATAAATATATCCATTATGAAAGGATAGAAAGCTGCTGACCTTTGGACACGTTTACCTCAAACGGCATCAAATCTCATTCTGATTCGCTTCATAAATAATATAAATATTTTCCTCTCGTGCTGAATGAATACATTTCCAGTGACGTTTGATGTTTCAAAGCTTATGTTTGTGTTCTCTGTTCTCTGCTTTGTTCCACACTGTCAGCCTCCACATGTAAAGTCTGTTTGTTCTGTTGAAGCTGCTGTCAGCTCTGTGGCTCTGAAGCACACACATGTTTACTGCTGTACAACCTGCTCTGTTTCCTCTCCTTATTTCCTGATTCCTATCTCCTTGTATCCAGTTTTTGTTGCTTTTTTTTTTTTTCGTTTCCTCTCTTGTTACCTGTTTATTTGTCTGTTTCCTCTCCTCTCTTTTGTTTCCTGTTTTGTGTTTCCTCTCTTCTTTTGTGTCCCGTTTCCTCTCTCCTCTCCTATTTCTTGTTTCATCTCCGTATATCCTCTTATATATATACTTGTTCCCTCTCTCCTTGTTTCCTCTCCTGTTTCCTTTTGTCCTTGGAAAACCTCTTAATCCATATTGTTTTCTCTCTTTAAGATTGTCACTTCTCACTTGTTTCCTCTGCTGTTTTTTCTGTGTGTTTACTTTCCTATTCCCTCTCTTGTTTCCTCTCATCTCTTTGTTTTCCTCTGTCCTCTCCATGTCTTCTCTCCTATTTTCTCTCTTCTTTTTGTCGCCTCTCTCCTCTCCTGTTTCCTCTCTTAATTCCTGTCTTGTTTCTGCCCATTACTGTTTCCTTGTTTCCTTTCTCCCTTTTCCTCTTCTGTTCCCCCTCTCTTCTTTTCTAAAATCTTCGTTACATTTTCCTTTTCTCTCCTTGTTTCCTCCTCTGTTTCCTCTCCTCTCTTGTGTTTCATTGTTCCATATATTTGTCTCTCTTGTTTTCTCTTAATTCTTGTCTCCTTGTTTCCTCTCTTCTCTGCTTGTTTCCTCTTGTCTCCTTGTTTGAACCTTCCTGTGTCCTTGCTTCCTTTCCTCCGCAGGTTGACAGTGTGTGACGAGGATAAGTTGACTCATAATGAGTTGATCGGAGAGTCCCGGGTGCCTCTGAAACGTGTGAAACCCGACCAGACGAAACATTTCCACACCTGCCTGGAGCACCCGCCTCCGGTAAACACACACACGCACACACACCCATACCTAATCTAACCTGAATGGGGTCTCCTAAAGGAAATATGTGCAGGAATCAGTGAGAGATAACAACATTTGTTTTGTAACAGACCAGAGTGCTTTCAAAAAGCTTTGTAATTGGGTCACAAAGCGGTAGGGAAGGATTGAGTTAAAGATTCAAAAAAATATCGTTTTTGTTTGCATCTTTGTTTTTGGTGGCCAACTCCAATTTGGTTGGTCGCTGTCACCTTTTGGGTTTTTGGTTGCCGCCATCTTGGTTAAATGTGTCGCCAACGTGGTTTTTGTCCAATGCCATATTTTTTTCCGTAACCAGAAGTGACACAAAAGGTGGGACTAAGTCTAACCTAATTCTGAACATTAGGTAGACGATCAAAATTGTTACATTAACTTTAACGAAGTGATAACACAAACTAGAAAAGGTTAAGGTTGTAAGACTTAAACACAACAAAACGATGGTAATGACCTGTCAATCTCAAAGTTGCCCTGCCCTAAACCATATGATGCTTTATTGTCGATTGTACTTCAAACTGTACCTTTATTGACTAAATGAACATAATTTATTGAAGAAGACTTAAAACTAAATACTAGTACCATAAACTAATCAGGTTACTGTTTACTAAGGTAATAAATCAGTAGGAGTGCCATTTTCACATAGTCTTCTTTCTTTGGATAATAGAGAGAATAAGTCTAGTTGGCAGCTCATAGAGTTTTATTGTGAACTACAAACTGTTATGATAGAAATATATACAGCACATAGAAACTGCCGGATGTTAACTTGCAAATGTTGGGAAATGTCCACTGTTAGAATAAGCTGCGTTTATAAGCATTAAAGCCGATGTGGACAATAGTTTAAAATGGTTTGGCAGATTTGGAGTGGTTTGGGGGGTTCTTGAGGAGTACAATACAATACAGCTTTATTTATAGAGCACTTTAAACCTCCAGACCAAAGTGCTGTGCAGTCAAATAAACAAAACAAAACATACAAAAAAATAATACAGCACAGCTCACACACCATAAAACAAGTACAAGTAAAAACAATAGACAATTTAAAAGCAATAAAAGCAACGCTCTAAAATATGTTAATATGCTAAGGAGAAGAGGTGGGTTTTAAGAAGCGATTTAAAAGCAGGCAGTGTGGAGGCCTGTCTGATGTGCAGGGACAGATCGTTCCACAGTGTAGGAGGAGCCTGTCTGATGTGCAGGGGCAGATCGTTCCACAGTGTGGGAGGAGCCTGTCTGATGTGCAGGGGAAGATCGTTCCACAGTGTGGGAGGAGCCTGTCTGATGTGCAGGGGCAGATCGTTCCACAGTGTGGGAGGAGCCTGTCTGATGTGCAGGGGCAGATCGTTCCACAGTGTGGGAGGAGCCTGTCTGATATGCAGGGGCAGATCGTTCCACAGTGTGGGAGAAGCCTGTCTGATGTGCAGGGCAGATCGTTCCACAGTGAGGGAGCCTGTCTGATGTGCAGGGCAGATTGTTCCACAGTGTGGGAGCCTGTCTGATGTGCATGGGCAGATCGTTCCACAGTGTGGGAGCCTGTCTGATGTGCAGGGGCAGATCGTTCCACAGTGTGGGAGCCACTACAGAGAAGCAACGGTCCCCTCTGAGCTTTGACTTGGTTCTGGGCACATTCAGGAGCAGTTGATCAGCTGACCTGAGAGGGCGGGTGGGCATGTAAGGGTGTAGCAGCTCAGAAAGATATGGTGGGGTCATGCCATTTAGGGATTTAAAAGTAAATAAAAGGATTTTGAAATGAATCCTAAAATATATTGGCAGCCAGTGGAGCGAAGCCAAAATGGGGGAAATGTGGTCATATTTCCGTGTGCCAGTTAAAAGCCTTGCTGCGGCATTTTGCACCATCTGCATGACGTTTATAAATACATGTCCCGGTGGGCTGATTTTGATACATTTTGCATCGATTTTGAAGTTTTAGGGGACTAATTTTGATCATTTTGATTGGAAAGAGTGCTTATTTATTTGAAATAAAATGCATCCAGTGGTCGCATCCCTACTCATGGTAGTCAAAATCAGCCCACTGGGAGTACAAATATGGCCACTTTCTGGTTGGAACTGTACCCATACTGTTAGGATCTGTCTGTGTTGTAGTTTTGTATGTCTGGTTAGGGGTATTTTCATCCTTGGATATTGTCTGGTCCTTCTTCCTGTGTTTTTCCTCCCGTCGTTAGTTTCCCTGGTGTGTCTAGTTGTCTGATTATTTTCACCTGTGGTCCTTGTGTTTCTCCTCCCCTGCCCGGCTGTGTCTCGTCTTGTGATTACCCCTTCCTGTATTTAGTCTTGTTTCTTCCTGTGTTCAGTGTCGGTTCGTCTTGTGTTGTGAGTAAACTGCGGTGAGTGTGCGTGTTCTGTCTCTGAATATTGTAGCCTTGAAATAAAGGAATTATTTTGTCACTTAAATCTGCATTTGGGTCTTGCTTCCTGCACACCGTAACATTACGAACCGACCAACAATGGACCCAGCGGATTTTAATTTTGATTTGGACTTGTTATCCCTAGAGTACACTCTTCAGTGTCATTATGCTGAATGGAGTAGAACCTTGGCTAAAAGGGACAAAGAGGCTGTCCTCAAAAAGGCACAAATGGAGGTGGACAACATGCCATGGTTGAGAGGCTCATTGCCTGAGTTTCTCAGAGTTTTCTCACGCATCCCTGAGTGCCAGTCTGTCACGGTGTGTGAAGCAGGTAGGACCCAAATGCAGATTAAAGTTAAAGTTCCTTTATTTCAAGGCTAGGTGATAACACAGACAGAACAGAACACTCACCGACGAACTAGTCATGACAAAAGACGAACCGACAAAGACAAACAGAAAAACCAGAACTTAAATACACACAAGACTAATCACAGAAACAAGACACAGGTGAGGAGGGAGGAGAAAACACAGGGACACCAGGTGAACACAATCGGGTAAATTAGACACACCAGGGAAACTAACGACCGGGAACCACAGACAGATTTAAACAAGACACAACGCAGACAGAAACAGGCAAGACAGGAAGTGAAGACCTTTCAACATGAAACAAGACAAGACAAGACAAAACACCATAAAGACAGATCGTGACACAGTCTCCATTCTCTGACCCTTTCTTGGGATCCCGCCTGGCGTTTGGAGGTCCACGGAGCCTCCAAAATACTTCTAAAAGACGCAAGGTCAGGAAGCCAGCTCGTACTCAGGTACCGGTCCTAGCAGCCATGGTTCCGGCTCCAGAGCCGGCCCATACAGCCATGTTTCCGGCTTCAGAACGGGATCTTACAGCCATGTTTCCGGCTCCAGAACCGGACCTTACAGCCATGTTTCCGGCTTCAGAACCGGACCTTACACCCATGTTTCCGGCTTCAGAACCGGACCTTACAGCCATGATTCTGGCTTCAATTCCGGCTCCAGAGCCGGCCTATACAGCCATGTTTCCGGCTTCAGAACTGGATCATACAGCCATATTTCCGGCCATGGTTCCAGACCTAGTACAGTCCCCAGCAGCCATGGTTTCAGCCCCAGTTCTGGCCCGAGCAGCCATGGCCCGGCCCCAGTCCCGGCCCCAGCTGCCACAGTCCCCTCTCCAGTCCCCTCTCGAGTCCCTCCTCTAGCCCCTCCTCTAGTCTCTCCTCCAGTCCCCTCTCGAGTCCCCTCTCGAGTTCCCTCCTCTAGTCCCTCCTTTAGTCCCTCCTCTAGTCCCTTCTTTAGTCCCTCCTCTAGTCCCTCCTCTAGTCCCCCCTCAAGTCCCCTCTCTAGTTCCCCTCTCGAGTTCCCTTCTCTAGTTCCTCCTCTAGTCCCTCCTCTAGTCCCTCCTCTAGTCCCTCCTCTAGTCTCTCCTCTAGTCCCCTCTGGAGTCCCCTCTCCAGTCCCCTCTCGAGTTCCCTCCTCTAGTCCCTCCTTTAGTCCCTCCTCTAGTCCCTCCTTTAGTCCCTCCTCTAGTCCCTCCTCTAGTCCCTCCTCGAGTCCCCTCTCTAGTTCCCCTCTCAAGTCCCCTCTCGAGTTCCCTTCTCTAGTTCCTCCTCTAGTCCCTCCTCTAGTCCCCTCTGGAGTCCCCTCTCGAGTTCCCTCCTCTAGTCCCTCCTTTAGTCCCTCCTCGAGTCCCCTCTCTAGGTCCCCTCTCAAGTCCCCTCTCGAGTTCCCTTCTCTAGTCCCTCCTCTAGTCCCTCCTCTAGTCTCTCCTCTAGTCCCCTCTGGAGTCCCCTCTCTAGTTCCCCTCTCGAGTCTGCTCTCGAGTCCCCTCTCGAGTTCCCCTTTGGTTCCCCTCTCGAGTTCCCCCTTGGTTCCCCTCTCGAGTCTCCTCTCGAGTCTCCTCTCGAGTCCCTACTTGAGTCACGTCTCAAGTCCCTACCCAATGTCCTGGTCCGTTGGAGGTTCCGCGGGGGGTCCTGCCAACTCCATATCTGTCTCGTTGGAGGTCCCGCCGTCTACTCTCCTGCCGGGGGTCCTGCCAATTCCATGTCCAGTCCCGTTGGAGGTCCCGCGGACTGCTCTCCTGCCGGGGGTCCTGCCAGCCCTGTGTGCTGTCCCGTTGGGGGTCCCGCCGACTGCCCTTCTGCCGGGGGTCCTGCCAACCCTGTGTCCTGTCCTGTTGGAGGTCCCGCCAAACTTCTCTCCTGCCGGGGGGTCCTGCCAACCCTGTGTACTGTCCCGTTGGGGGTCCCGCCGACTGCCCTTCTGCCGGGGGTCCTGTCAACCCTGTGTCCTGTCCTGTTGGAGGTTCCGCCGACTGCTCTCCTGCTGGGGGTCCTGCCAATCCTGTGTCCTGTCCCGTTGGGGGTCCCACCGACTGCCCTCCTGGCGGGGTCCTGCCAACTCCTGGTCCTCTTCCGTGGGGGATCCTGCCGAGGCCTGTCCCACCAGCGCCGGTTCCTGTCCGGCCGACACCGGGTTCTGCCCGGCCTCCTGAGAGCCGCGGTCTTCGCCCTCGAGCCCGGCCCCCTGAGAGCCGCGGTCTTTGCCCTCGAGCCCGGCCCCCTGAGAGCCGCGGTCTTCGCCCTCGAGCCCAGCCCCCTGAGAGCCGCGGTCTTCGCCCTCGAGCCCTGCCCGCTGAGTGCCGCGGTCCTCGCCCTCGGGCCCGGCCCCCTGACTCTTCCTGCCACTGCCTTCGCCCCTCCATAACCCCCTTTTCAAGCTCTGCCTTGCCCCTGGGCTGTCAGCCCAAGCCCGTCCTCCAGACCCCCTCCACCCACCCTGTTGGCCCTAGTTTTGTGTCCCTCCTCCGGTCCCCCTCCGCCCGTCCTGGTGGCCTGGTGGTGTGTCCCTCCTCCGGGGACCCCCTCCACCCACCCTGCTTGTGGTTTTGGACTTTTTGTGGTTTTGTTTTGGGACGTCTGGGATCCATCCCTTGAGGGGGGGGTACTGTTAGGATCTGTCTGTGTTGTAGTTTTGTATGTCTGGTTATGGGTATTTTCATCCTTGGATATTGTCTGGTCCTTCTTCCTGTGTTTTTCCTCCCGTCGTTAGTTTCCCTGGTGTGTCTAGTTGTCTGATTGTTTTCACCTGTGGTCCTTGTGTTTCTCCTCCCCTGCCCGGCTGTGTCTCGTCTTGTGATTACCCCTTCCTGTATTTAGTCTTGTCTCTTCCTGTGTTCAGTGGCGGTTCGTCTTGTGTTGTGAGTAAACTGCGGTGAGTGTTCTGTTCTTTCTCTGAATATTGTAGCCTTGAAATAAAGGAATTATTTTGTCACTTAAATCTGCATTTGGGTCCTGCTTCCTGCACACCATAACACGTAGTATACATTTCTAAAATAAAACTTTTGCTGGTACTAAACATTGCCGGGTTCAAAGTGCTGGCAAGACTAAATGCAGGTTTAAGGCACTTGTGCATTGGCCTCACGTTAAAGGACACAACTTATTGTAGGTGACAATGCTGCAGACAATTGGTACTTAAAGGTCATCCCAGCTACTTCTTTTAAAAGTATTAATTGAGTTTTTCACATTGTGGTATTGGTCTCTACACAAAAGAAGAAGCGTCACTTTTCATTTACTTTCTTTCCAGCTCCCCTCTCCGACCACCATGGGTGAAGCCCTTCGAGGAATATCCTGCTACTTAAGAGAGGTAAGAGTCCATGTTTCTGTTTATATTTGGAAAAATCATTAAATAATAAAGAATATAATCGCTAAGGACAACGAATCGCTTGAAATATTTGAATCAAACCAATGAAGAGTGACAGTAAGCTGAGGTAAGGTAATGCTGAATTATTACATTGTTTAAATGTTCACATAGCTCGCATCTCTTATAACCCTGGAAAGGGAATTACAACTTTAGGTGCAAAAGTAAAATGGCTGGGCTGTCGATTTTCTAATTTGTGTGAAATTGTGCATTGAAACAATGTCAGCAAACAAAGTGTCCTTAAAGCAGTGGTCATTCCCCACTTTGAACACGTGGGCCTTTTCAAGCCCCACCTGTTCCTCATCGCTCCAATAAAATGGTAGGCCAAGCTTAAAAATGTCAAATGTATCATTCTATAACAGGGGTCTCCAACCTTTTTTAGGATGAGGGCTACTTTAAAAAAATAAAACAAGTCGTGAGCTACTTTTACTCCTCTTTCTTTGCAGTGTATATATTTAGCACATTTTAACATTATTCTATGAGGCATGTGGAACAGTGGGTTGTGTGTTGGTGTTTGGATTAGGGGGCCACAGGTTCAAACCCCACTGCAGTCAGCATATCGTTGTGTCCCTGGGCAAGACACTTCACCCCAAATTGCTCCTGTGGTGATTGCCCACAGTATTAAGTATGTAAGTTGCTTTGGATAAAAGTGTCTAAAAAAAACTATTTTAACCTGCTTTATTTGGGGGTGGACTTCACATCCTCTAGGGGGGTCCAGGGCCATTATCACATCTCTGCGCCCCACGAGTGGGGCGCGCCCCACACTTTGAGAAACGCTGCCTTAAAGGGTAATACAACTGCAATTAATTAGTTATGTTGGCCAGTCCTTGTAAACAGTCGAAATAAGTTTAAAATCAATCCTAAGAGTGGGTGCAGAGTTCTGAATTAATTGCTTTTCGATGGATTTTTCTTGGAGGAGTCAGTGTGAGAAAAAGTTTTTAGAGAGTACTTGTCCATGGACAAGTGAGTTTGGCAATTTACTTGTCCGAATACATTTTTCACTTGTCCAGAATGGACAAAAATTGGGGCCACTGGAATCTTCTTCTTCGTCATCGTATTTTACATTTTGCCACGGTTTTTACGACACCGCTAACGTAAGTGAGCGGTAAGATTTTACTGCATCACACATAGGGTTGGGTATCGTTTGGATTTGAACGATTCTGGTTCTGCTTTTCGATTCCGGTTATTTTCGGTTCTCAATTCCGGTTCTTTGAGAGGGTAAAAATAAGTCAAACTGGGAGAAAAATATATTTATGAAAAGATTAAGTCAAATCTGTATTCCTATTTACAAATCACTTCATACTGTTGAATTTCTTACGGTTATTGAATACAATTATATAAAAATAATCTCTGCATTGTTTAGTTAGTTCTAAGTGGTGCAGTTTGAGAATGTACAATTGGCCCAGTCTCCTCTGATGTTACACTGCAACCTGCCTGTGAGACAAAGTCCAACCACACATGTCCAACACATAGGACATAACCTAATAATAATAATAATAATAATGACACATTAGATGTATAGCCTCTAGGCCTAGCGCTTTTCTACAACTCAAATACGCTTACACATGTCCTGCAATACCAACCCAGTCTCATGGCATTTCGTGTTCACCAACACGATTTGTAATCTATTGATTCGTGTTCACCAACATGAATTTACCCTTTTTTTCGTGTTGCACAGCACGATTTTAAAAGCAATGTATTTCTACTGGTAATGACGCTCATGGAAGCACGGCATTCGTTTGTGTCGGCTGCCCTTAAAGGCAATGTGAGCGTCCATTCTCATTGGATAACGGAGAATTGTACACCCGGAAGTAAGTATTCCCCTTACTGTCGATTGATTTTACAGTGATATCTGCACTACTCATCGACTAAAAAACACCAGATTATCCTTGTTAATTACACAACATTGATTGGTTTAAATTGTGTGCAATGCTTTTGTATTTTTCCCCTTCGATTCGGAGAAACAAATATTTTTTCGGAGTAAAGGATAGCAGAAGACACTACACTACCCAGAATCCCCAGCTATCGTTTAGGACTACACCATGTGCTCTGTTTGACAAAGGGTTACCGAGCCTCGAACAGCACTTGAAATGGGATGGCACCACGGCAGACTGTCCAAAACTGTGTTGATACTGCAAGGAGACGTATTGTGTGAACATAAATGTAAGATGTTGTTTAATGGCTGATATATTTATGATCCACGTCACGTTTTCAGTTCCTCATGTTTGTCTAGAAGTCTTCTCATCAGGGCTCTATAAATACAGAACTACGGCAGATATGTAATATTGAATGCAGCCGAACCGTGTATTACAATGCCGTTATGTGATGACTTCCAAAGAGAAAAGCAAGCACACTCGGAATAAAGTATTATTTTTTTTTTTTTTAAATGTTTTCGGTCTGTTTCCGGTATTTGTTAATGACGATGTGCTGTGAGATGTGAGACTGGAATTGCACAGGGGAAAATAACGTAGGTTATCTTTAGATGCGGATTTTGTTAAACTAATATGTTTGCGCTGTGGACCAACACTATACATTGACGGGGGAAGGGGGGTAGCAATAAAGATAACACCATTAAACAGTTACACAACATAACAGAAATAATATCGATAGCAGCGTCCCTAGCAACCACCTTGGTAACAATGAAAACTTCCTGAAGTAATCTTCGTAATAACTAGCAAACTAAAGATCATGTACATCCACTGCACACATAATCTGAAATAACAACTCATATTTCTCGCATCAAATGACATCAAAACGCATTTTAATGGCCAAACTAACTTTAAAATAGGCATTTTCCACCGAGAATAAAACGAAGTTCGGCCATGTTTTTTTTTTCTGCAGGGAAGAAATTTGAAGATCACGTGACGTCAAACAGAGCACATGGTGTAGTCCAAACGATAGCTGGGATTCTGGGTAGTGTAGTGTCTTCTGCCATCCTTTACTCCGAAAAAATATTTGTTTTCTCCAAATCGAAGGGGAAAAAATACAAAAGCATTGCACACAATTTAAACCAATCAATGTTGTGTAATTAACAAGGATAATCTGGTGTTTTTTAGTCGATGAGTAGTGCAGATATCACTGTAAAATCAATCGACAGCAAGAGGAATACTTACTTCCGGGTGTACAATTATCCGTTATCCAATGAGAATGGACGCTCACATTGCCTTTAAGGGGCAGCCGACACAAACGAATGCCGTGCTTCCATGAGCGTCATTACCAGTAGAAATACATTGCCTTTTAAAATCGTGCTGTGCAACACGAAAAAAAGGGGAAATCGTGTTGGTGAACACGAATCAATAGATTAAAAATCGTGTTGGTGAACACGAAATGCCATGAGACTGGGTTGGCAATACACATGCTGCAGCTGCCCAGCTGCTCACTGTGTGTAAAAGTAAATAAATAGTATTTTCATTTCAATAATGTACTTTCTATACCCTGCTTCATAAACAATACTGACATCCCTGTGCTCCTCTGAGTCTGGGGGTCCGGGTTTGTGAGGAACAGCGCGAGGATACAGACAGGGAGGTTGCTTTACTTCATAAAGGAAATGGTGGTCAATATTAACAACATAGGAGTTAAAACGCTTAATAACCTTCATTATGTGTTAGAGAAAGAACATAAGAAAGTTTGACAAAGATGAGGCTGTTAATCGGGCAGCAGCTGTGTGTAGAGGGAGAGAGAGAGACGCTGAGCTGCACCATGCAGCGATCAGCTGATACGGAGCATAGAGAGAGCTGCAGTCCGCGGGGCTCGGCCTCGCCTCCTGTCCTCACAACTCTTATTAATCCCGATACCGGACAATTGTTATTTGTTCCTACTCGGAACCGTGTTTTGCTTCCCAACCCTGCCACTGTGCTACACTTCCCGCCCCGCCCCGTCTAACTGTACAGAAAGCGGCGAGATGCATTTCCTTAGGAATCGACAAGCAGAACCGAAACTAACACTTCTAAACGAACAATGGCGGACACGTACAATTTGCGAATGAGTTCTGCCTTTTGTAAACTGAATGTATCAATAATTTGTCAATAAATCAGGCCGAAAAACGTCACTTGTCCGCCGGACAAGTCAATTGAAAGATCTACTTGTCCGATATTGTAAATAACACGTCCCGGACGGTGGGACGTGTACTTTTTCGCACACTGGGAGTGCATTAATGTAATTAAATCTACTTGAAATAAATGCATGAACAATGTTTTGAGCATCTTGTTGAGAAATGAAAAGCGGACTTTGCATATATTTCAGAAATGAAAAAATAAACTGATTAGCCCGAGATGAAAACACCAGACAAAGGGCATTATGTTACAGATATCAACAGGTAACAACATGGCTTCTTTACAGATCTGAGCAGAGGTACTTCCCTCTGGTGTAACATTTGATGAGTGTATGGCTTAAACTCCTACATGTGCAACGGCAACTAATATTTACTCCTTTAGGTCTTGTGTCCACATAGCCTGTATTTCTGTTTGGTTTTTTACCGTTTGTAAAATAGAATCTGTGAGATAAATAGGAGAACGCATGAACAGAGCAAATGGTTACAGGCCTGGGAATGAACGCTGCACTGAGACGTTTTAATTATCATTCGTTTAATCTAATTCAGTGGTCACCAACCTTTTTAAGCCCAAAATCACCGACATCGGCCTAGGTGAAAGGCGAGATCTACCTATTTCAGAATTGAGTGAAAAAGACGGCCCAGACAGTGCTTCCAATTTGAGGCCTTTTATATAGGCTAATTGCATCTGAATTACTGTTACAATGAAGGCTCCATAATCAGCTCACGGCATATAGGCAGGGGTAAAGTGCTATTTGTTATGAGTGGGGGGCGGACCTCACCTCCTCTAGGTCCTCACCTCCTCTAGGGGGTTCCGGGTGGATGTTCCCCCGGGAAGTTTTTTTTTAAATATTGAAGTTGAAAGCATCAATCTGGTGCACTTTGAGAGCAACAAGAA